AAAAATACAGCATGGCGACTATGCTTAATAATTCTGTATTGCATACTTGAAAGTTGCTAAGAGAGTAGATCTTGAAAGTTCTCATCACAAGAAAAAAAATTTTGGTAACTAAGGAAACATGTTAAGGAGACTTACTGTGGCAATCATTTCTCAATGTATACAAATATCAAATCATTGTGTTATACATCTGAAAGTAATATTTGTCATATACTTCTATTTTTTAAAAAGCTTTAAAAAATAAACCCCCAAAAATCTAATTTAAAATAATCACCTCAAACAATAAATATTAGCATTGGATAAAAGTGAAATGTGATTACTACGTAACACAAAAAGCTGCTTCTCTAAAATGATTGTGAAGGCATTTTATGCAAGAGTTAGTTACACCACACTAGACAACTATGAATGTTTAACATGAAAAAAAATGGTGCTCATAGATCAGTACTAATGGGATTCTGTTGGAAATATCATGGCATTTTTAGTTAATCAAAGGATTCTTTTCTTTCGGCCCTAACTAGCAGTCTTAATGTTGTGAGTAGCTATTAAATAATTATGGGGTTATAACCCATGAGACTGTAATGATCATGGATGAAATATACTGTAGCCATGAAGCTTTGGAATACTTCATGAAAGAAGCAAAATGCCATGAAAATATTCAAGGAACTTTAAAATAATGAGAAGTATAAGATTTTTCCACTGCTTACTCCTTTATTGTGGTGTTTGATAAATATTAATGGACATGACAATGGTTTGGTATATGAAGAAACAGAAAACACCCATCCTTCAGCCCTACCTCCCTCCTCTAAGAGAAGAATAGCTCCATATATTTTAAATGAATAACAAATTGGCTCAGACCAATTGCTAACTCTGTCATAAGGGGTCCCAAAAGAGTTGGAGTTGCTGCAGTTGCAATGACTGCCAACTCAGAAGACAGATGTGTGACTGCAGAATTGCCATCGAGCTAACTTCAAAACAAGGCTGTAAATTTTTACAAAGAGAAAGACAAGAGAGGGAATTGGTATTTGACTATAGTTGCAATTAACTCTCAATTATCTATACTAATCAGGAGAAAAAAAGGCATAGTGTTTAACAATGGATAAATATAAAATTTGAGAACTGGTCAATACCAGCACATGTTCAGACACTCCCTAATTCAATACTCAACTCTGCCTCCTTTCTAGTTCAATCCCATCACAGTAGGTTCTGTGTAGGTTAGAGGAAGAAAGGGGCCTATTTCTCTATACCCTATTCATGAATATTGAAAATGTGATTGGACATTGTAATATTTTAATATATTTAAAGTATAATGTATGATTTCCAAGTCACTTTTAAAGATAAGCTGACTTTTTAAGTTAAATACATGATCCCATTAGCTTAACAGTGGTATGTTACATAATAAAAAAAATTGTCATGATGTTAAAGATATTAAGTCATAAAAACATTTTCCAGAAACTTTTAAAAATACATATTGTGACTTTAAAAAATCTATGGATTGATCATTAGTAAAAAATATATTGTTTATAGTGTTAACATAATACATATATTAGTTTTCCTATAACTATTGCTTGGATGTGAATAGACTCATTAAGAAATTTAACCTTAAAACTTCTCAGTCCATAGACCTTTTCAATAGACATGATTCCCTTAACTATTAAAATGCAAAATAAACCAACAACAAAAAACCTCTTACCATAATTAAACTGCTATTCTCCATTACTTGATCATATCATGTCCTGATATGAAAAGGAAAGGTTCCTTGGGTGGAAAGAGCAAAAAAAGGAGCCCACAGCATCAGGAATTAACAGGTTTTATCCCAGTCTTCATCATGGCCTCCCTTGTCTCAACTGAGAACCTGTATGAGATCTCACTGCCTCTCCAGCTCAACTGAATTTTCAGCAGAAAAATAACTCCAAGGAGCCAATACTCTGAATTGTCTTACATTTTTAACCCTGTATTAACTGAGAACTTTACCCAGACACCTAGAACGTACATCCTACCCAACGTACTACCATTACCATACTTTGAAAACCCCTTGTCCTGTACTGGTAGGTACAGGATTAAAATTTATTTTTATATCGGTGATGCTTACATTAAAATTATTTTAAGAGAATACCAGTAGAATGAATACTGTTCTGATAATTAGGAAATTTGGATTCTAGCCCTAGCTCTACCACTAATTAGTTGTGTGTTCATAAGGAAGTCATTTAACCTCTCTGGGCCACACTTTCTTCATTTATATAAAGTCCTTTGCAGCACTAACAACCTTAATTTTATTAGCAGGAAAACAGTAGCTGAGAGCCTTGAGAGTTCATTTATGACAAAGAGAATACCAGCCAAGAGAAAAAAAAATCACCATAATATTTCTTTACAGCCCTAATTACATTTTGACACCCCCCACCAACCCTATCTAAGAAGCATTGTTCATTGTAGGAAAATATATGCAACACGAAGACAATGGGGTCAAACTGTATAACCTCATTCCTCCGTGTTTTCTAGCCACTGACATTCTCCCACATATCAGCTGTTCTTGCACCCTCTCTAGGTCAGTGGTTTTCAACGATAATTTGCCTGGAACTGCCTTCTCTAGACCCAATTTAATAGTTCCCTTTTGAAACTAATGACCCTTTTGTCTTTCCCTCTCTGTCCTACACACAGTAAGCTCCCATAACCAGTTAAGTCATGGAGATATAATGTACAGCATGGGGACTATAGCCAATAATATTGCAGTGTGTACTTGAAAACTGCCAAGAGAGTAAATACTAAAAATACTCAGCATGAGAAAAGAATTTTTGTAACTTTGTACGTTGATGGTTGGAAACTAGACTTATTATGGTTATCATTTTGCAGTGTGTACAAATTATGTTGTACACCTGAAACTAATGTAATGTTATATGTTAATTGTACCTTAATAATAAAGGAAAGAAAAAGCAAGCAAGGAAAGGACCAAAGAAATGTAGTCTTCTTGGTTTTGATTCAGTATCTAATCAAAGTTAAAATGGCAGACTTGATTGTTATGTTTCTTTTAATCTAAGACAATCCCCTTAATTTTTTTGTTGTATATTCTTTTGTTTTCCATGACTAACTTTCAAGAGTCTAAGTCAATTGTCTTTCACAGTGCATCACATGGACTGTGTGGTAATTTCTCTGTCATCTGACTCAGTTCAGTTAAACATTTTTGGCAAGAATACTACCATGATCTTTCAGAATGTCTCCCATGTAGAACGTCTGATGATTTGCTTATGATAAGATTCAGGTTAAACATTTTTGGTAAGTATACTACATATGTGATATTGTGCACTTCTTATGTCAGATCAAGAGGCACACAGTGTAAAGATATCCCACTATTGGTGATATTAAATTTGATCACTTGATTAAAGTGGTACTTGTTAGATAGCTCTGTTGTAAATGCTTATTTTCTCCTTTATAATTTTTAAGTAACCTGTGGAATGATACCTCTGGAACCATAAATATCCTGCTCACCCACAATATTAAACTCAGTGGTTTTAGCATTCATTTATGTCCTTTGCCTGAATCAATCATTATGCTGGGGCTACAAAATGGTGACTTCCTCACTAAACTGTACAATGAAAATGGTCACCCATTTTCATGGCATGTAAATTATACCTCAATAAATATTCCTTATTATACCTTAAAAAAATAATTCAGTAACTTGTAGTCTGTATTTGATTCATTTCCTACTAGTATGTTTTTTTCTGCCAGGAAATGACTGACAGTTGCAATATTTTATGAATGAGACAGGGTATTCAAAATCAGGGTAAGCTTAATAAAATTGTTTTAATGGTGGTTTTCTAATTCTACTGGGCCTTCTACAATTATTAGATGGCATGCTTCTACAAAGACTTTTCCCTATACTGCCTGTTTCTCTCTTTTTATTTTGGACGATCACTGGGACTCATGGGTTTTTTTCCCCCTCAATGTGTATCATAATCCATTACTATCATTATTCTTTTGGATATTCAAACCATCCTAATTTGGCTAGCAGAAGCCCATTCAATCACAAACTTGTGTCCTAACAGAAACTTGTTAGTCTTTAAGGAATCTCTGTTTTCCAGCATAAATGTCCCAACCCACTCTGTACTTTCCCTGCCTGATACCTGAAATCAGGTTTTCCCCAAGAAGCCTTGATTCCTTTAAATGGGAATGGTAATTAGAAACCAAGATCTAAATGCTGGATTGCTACTGGAGTGTCTGTCATTGCTTCTTAGCCCTTCACACATACAGAACAAGGGAATAGGAATTCATACTAATATTTGCAACTCAAATTTGTAATACAAATATAAAAGAAGAAAAGGAAAAATATATCTCATCTTTCAATGAAAATCTTGGTTTCCATTATCACTAATATACTTATGCATTTGTTTCATCCTATAACATAGAAAATGGCAGTAATATTATTATACTACATATATGTATGTATACATATGTATATATAGTATACTTGTGAAACTAACAATAAACTTATTAAGAAAGTTTGAGATTTCTTTGCAGTTCATCTTTAAGATTACATCCTAATAAGTATGCACTGTCAAGAATATTATGTTCAAAAGTTACCTGAACTGCATGATTATGTGATACATTAGTTATATAAGCTTGTTCGGTTTTAGTTTATATTTAATTTTAACATTTATCATTCTTACCATTATTTTTGGCTTAATTATAATTTTTGAGTATTTATACTTTTACATGGCCCCAAAATCAAAACTCTATTAAAAGGTATACTCAAGTAAAGTTCTGCTTCTATCCCTACCTCCTCTACCCTGTTCCCATATACCCCCTATTTTGATTAGTTTCTAGTTTATCCTTCCTGTTTCACTGTATAAAAATAAGCAATTATGGTTCTTCAGAATTAACATAGACATACCATGAGTTAAGCAACACCCCTACAACTAAGCTCTTATTTGAGTGTGATCATGGTATACAAAACCTGATTTATATCACATTTTCTACTTGCAATACAGATATTTTGGCATACAAACTCCTACCTGAATTCTGATTAATCCACTGTAGAGAGCTCATATAAGCATTCAGAATTCTGCAGATCTGATAGAGCTAAAAACATACACAAGAGTTTTAGATTATTATTATGATGATATGGAGAACAAAAAAAAAGCATAAAAATTTTAAATTAGGAAATGGGTTTTCATGTTTTTCTGGTAAGAAATGGACTGAGTGCTAAAGATAAATAGCTCCTTTTTGCTATTTCATATTTGTAATGTTCATTATGTCTATATATCAGAGCAATCTAATTATTTTGTAACAGTCAAGAATTTGATTCCTACAATTAAATAAGAAACTATTACAGTACAAAATGTAAGTAGAGAGCACTAAGAGACATTTCACAAGAAATTCATATAAAAAACCTTAAATATAAATTTTTCTCAACCAAATTAGCCATTTTAAAAATGAGGTTTAACTCACATACATTATATTAGTTTCAGATGTACATGATTAGATGTTTGTATATGTTACAAAATGATCACCATAAGGGCTTAGTTAGAAAGTATCACCATACAGTTAGAAAAAAACCTTTTTTCTTTTGATGAGGACTTTTAAGATCTAATCTCTTAGCAATTTTCAAATATGCAATACAGTATTATTAACTATAGTCACCATGCTGTGCAGCATATCCCCATGACTTATTTTATAATGGGAAGTTTGTACCTCTTGTGCCCCCCGCCTCTAGCAACCAACAATCTGTTCAAGGTATCCATGAGCTTGAGCTTTTCTGTTTTTTTATTTTAAATTCCACACATAAGTGAGATCATATGGTATTTGTCTTTTATTGTCTGACTTACTTCACTTAGCATAATGCTCTCAAGGTCTAACATGTTGTCACAAAAAGCAAGATTTCCAAACCAGTGATTTTTAATAAATGATAATACTCAGTTTTCAAGGGTTGTGGGGGAAACAAGTACATTCACATAAAGCCTATAGCAATATAAACTGACTCAACCCTTCAAAATGCAAATTTTTATAATATATATCAAAATTTTTAAGATATTCACACCTTTTAACTCCATATATTCTACTTCTAGAAACATATCCAGAGGAAATAATCAAATCAAAACATTACTGGTGTTACCAAAGGGAAAGGGACTGGGGAGGATGGGTGGGAAGGGAGGGATAAGGGGGGGGGGAAGGGGAGGGGAAGAAAGGGGGCATTACAATTACCATGTATAATGTGGCGGGGGGCACGGGGAGGGCTGTGCAACACAGAGAAGATAAGTAGTGATTCTACAGCATCTTACGACGCTGATGGACAGTGATTGTAATGAGCTTTGTGGGGGGGACTTGGTGATGGGGGGAGTCTAGTAAACATAATGTTCCTCATGTAATTGTAGATTAATGATACAAAAAAAACACATTACTAGTTACTATAGGGCAATTCTATAATGGCAAAAAACTGGAACCAATATCTGTATCAATAAAAGCACGATTAAATATATTATGGTAAAGTCACCTTTAATGAGATATTATAGAGTCAATATAACCATGTTTTCAAAGAATGGATAAAATTTTAGGAAAACATGAAAGGATATTAAATAAAGACAGAAAAAAAAAGCATTATATAGGCAAGTTTCCAATGCTTTTTCAAACAAAAGAGGTATTTTAACCAGCACAGTGAAGAGTTGAAAGAAATACACCATTAACAGAGTACTGGTAATATGGGTGATAAAACTTTCTTTACAAATTTCCCTATTTTCCAAGCATATCAATACAACAAACAAGCATATGTACTAATTTTAATGAAAAATACTGAACATTTATTTTTAAAATTTAAGAACTTTTGATAAATATTTGAGCAAAGACCAGGATAATACTGAAAACAAGAGGAAATGAAAACCAGACTTAAAAGAATGGTACATAATGAAAACAGAATTTTAGTGTATTTTAATATAAAAATTGAAAACATAATTTGTATAAGGAACAATGAGTTTTTGAAAGAAAATGTGACTGAATATCTTATATTCATTAATATGGACTTGCTTAAATTTTAGATATTAGTCTCTCACATCTCCCACCCCAAAATGGTAAAAATAGTAATGAATACTACTGAACACAGTTGCTATTTTTCTATCCTGGTGAATGGCACATAATAACAGGGCTTTTTTTTTTGGTATCATTAATCTATAATTACATGAGCAACATTATGGTTACTAGACTCACCCCATCATCAAGTCCCCACCACATACCCCATTCCAGTCACTGTCCAACAGCATAGTAAGATGCTACAGAATCACTACTTGTCTTTTCTGTTATACAGCCCTCCCCGTGCACCCTCCACATTATACATGGTAACCGTAATGCCCCCTTTCTTCCCCCCCACCTTGTCCCTCCCTTCTCACCCATCCTCCCCAGTCCCTTTCCCTTTGGTAACTGTTAGTCCATTCTTGGGTTCTGTGAGTCTGCTGCTGTTTTGTTCCTTCAGTTTTTTTCTTTGTTCTTAAACTCCAGAGATGAGTGAAATCATTTGATACTTGTGTTTTTCTGCCTGGCTTATTTCACTGAGTATAATACCCTCTATCTAAGAGAGTATTTCCTTCCCCAGATTGGGGAAGTTTTCGGCAATTATTTCCTCAAAGAGACTTTCTATCTTTTTCTCTCTCTTCTTCTTCTGGTATCCCTATAAAGTGAATATTGTTTCACTGCATTTGTCACACAGCTCTCTTATTATTCATTTATTCCTAGAGATCCTTTTTCTCTCTGTGCCTCAGCTTCCTTGTTTTCCTGTTCTCTCATTTCTATCTCATTTACTGTCTCCTCTACCTGATCTCATCTGCTTTTAAATCCCTCTACTATGTTTCATTTCAGATAATGTATTTTTCAACGTACATTTCTCCTTGTTAAAGTCTTCCCTGAAATCTTGACTTTTTTGTAGCTCTGTAAGCATGTTTATGACTTTTATTTTGAAATCTTTATCAAGATGATTGGTGATTTCAATTTCACCAAGCCCTCTTTCTGGCATTTTTTCTTGTAATTTTGTTCGGACCAAGTTCCCTTGTTGTTTCATTTTTTAATGTTCCCCATGGAATAATAACTTTACATAGGTGGCACACTCTAGTACCCAGCAGCTCTACTCTCTGTAGCTACCAAGCACCTGCGGTAAAGGCAGGGGTCACAGGCGAGTGGAACTGGTGCTTGCCAGTAGGAAAGAGTTTGGCTGGGAGGGTTTCCTGCCCTCTCAGCTGTAATACCTGCCTCCACTTCCAGGTCTAGTGGGCCATGTGAGCAGGGAGGAGCCTCTGTGCTATGACCCTGTAGCTGCCATAGGCAGAGTCACCGTTCGGCTGGCCTGGCACGATGGTGGTGGTAGCAAGTGGGTGGGACCGGTGCCTGCTGGGAGGAAGGAGCAGCAGGCTGTGTACCACAGTGGGGGGCCTTGGAGCTGTGTTGCCAGCCAGGAGAATGGAGTATCTGAAGCTCCTTAGAGTTCCAACCTGCTAGGCTGAGTATGCCAAAAAGATTTTGTCCATCTGCCCTTTCTCCTGAGCAGTGAGCTCTGTGTAATCTTTGCCCCTTTAGTGTCTCTCTTGCTGCTGGGAAGTCTTTCAAACTACCCACCTTTCTTTTGTCCTAGAGGGTCGGTTGTGTGTACCTGTTCTCCATAAGTGGCTGGAATCTCAGTCTCTCCCAGTATTCTGCCCGTCTTTGCTTTCGAACTCCACTAATCTCCAGAGCAACATGTAATGTGGGTTCATGCTCCTGAAGCAGATCTCCAGGGCTGGTTTTTCAGCAGTCCTGGGCTTCTGCTCCCTCCCTGCTCCATTTCTCTTCTTCCCACCTGTGGGCTGGGTGCAGGGAGGACTTGAATCCTGCCCAATTGTGGCTTTGCTACTTAACCCTTTTTTCTGATGTCTTCTCTTTTTCCCCAGGTTTAGGCAGTCTGTTCTGCAGTCTTTGAGTTGCTTTTCCAGGATTAGTTGTATTTGCTGTATTTTTGTGTTTTATGTGATCCTGCAAGGAGGTTTCTGCCTCACTTCTCATGCCACCATCTTTTTCCCCTTCCACAAAGCTTTTGACCTGGTTACAATAAATTATCTATAAGAATATTATTGTTCAGAAAATGTTTTATCACCAGTTTCCTGTCCAATGATCTATGCTACCTGAGAAAATAGATGAACTGATGCTGATCTTTTGCTTCTTTTGTCCTGCTATCAGGCAGCAATTATTCTTTAATTCACTCATCTTAAACATCTCAATTACCCTTGCCAGGAAAAACAAAAAGAAAAGACTCAAACATTTACTCCCCACTACTAAAATAAAATAAATCCACCCATGGCTAAGTAGAGAAAAAAATATAAGGTTAGGATTACAGTCTCCTTTTACTTATTCTGTTCAAAACATCATTTCAGTTATATTAATTTCAACATAGCGAGACTAGACATCAACTCTGCTTCATTTATAAATCTGCATGTATTTATCAATGCATCAAAATTCCATTACAATAAAACAGTTTTGAATTTTGGAATCACAATGATGATCTAATATTTTGTTAAAAAGAAAATCTATATTCTGTCCACTCTTGATCATCTCTGTGAACAAAGTGAGATGGTAGTACTGGTAATCCCAGACTAATTTATATTTGTTTTTGTACAACTTTAGATTCACCCAAAACAGAGAACAGCATAATTTTTATAGCTGGAGGTCAAGATAGTTTAGTTCACCCATGACATTTTGCAAAAGGAGTCAGGATTCAGAGAGGTTAAGTGACAAAATTCTAATGCTTTCTCAACTGTACCATGCTGTCTGTTTATAATTTTAAAAGCTAGTAATAGGTATGTGTATAAGAGAACCATCTGTATATAACTGGACAAAGAGTTTAGTCAAGAATAATCACCATTTATACATATTATATTATTTTTATATATAAATATATAATATATATTATATGTATATATCACCATTATATATATGTCATTCATCCTCACCTACCCAGATCCTGGCCCCACTCCTAATTATAATAAACTGACAAAGATTCCACAGTGGGAGACTGCTCTCACCATTACTGCCATGGAGTGGAAATGGGGAAAAGGAAGACTCCATTTAGCTGCTAAGATAATAGGGAAAGGTAGAGGAAATAAGCTCTTTAATTACAGATAAAGGAAAAAAAATCCTCAAGGCCAAATTAATTAAAAACATCTCAACTCTCTAATTGAGATGCTTTGGCTGTACCTTCCCATGTATAATACATTTACATTATGAGTTAAATAGGATTCTGTGAGGCAAGTTGGAAACCTAATAACCATATAAGCCAGGAAAAGACAAATACTATATGATTTCAGTTACATGTGGAATCTAAAAACCAAAACAAATGAACAAAACACATATAGACTCATAGACACAGAGAAGAGACTGGTGGTTGCCACAGGGATGGAGAGAGGGGGATGAGTGAAATAGGTGAAAGGGATAAAGAGGCACAAAATTCCAATTATAATATAAATTAGTTACAGAGATAAAAGTATAGCATGGGTTATATAGTCAATGACATTGTATCTTTGTATGCTGACAGATGGTAACTACATGTACTGGAGTGAGTATTTAGTAATTTAGATATCTGTTAAATCATTATGTTGTAGACCTGAAACCTGAAGTATAGTTGGTATCACCTATACTTCAATAAAAAGTTCCTAAGGAAAAATATATTTTAAGTCTTAAATATATTTATTTTGACTCATTAAACTTTTAAGATATAACCTAATCATAAATTAAGGATTACCTGGATATATTTATAGGACTCAAACATACATACTTACAATTATATGAATATGTAGATAAATAAGTAAAAGGAAGGATGAACTAGCTAATGAGTAAGTGAACAGAAAAGTAAGTACAGGGACATATTTAGTTATGTGAAAAACATGGGAGAAAATTCTGAACATTTAGGGAAGAAAGTCATTTTTTCACCCTCCTGGGAATAATCACAAAAAACCCACAACCTTTTCTGTCCTTAAGTATTTCCTGCACCACTAACTACACCCAAGAGCTTCACATCTCTAGAGTCAGGTAAGGAGCACTGCAGAGGACAGAAGGTGATTAGCTAAAACAACCACAGAATGCTAATTTCATATTAAATCTTGGTTGTCCAAGTAGATAAAGCAGTTAACACACCAGGTCAGTGTTAGCAGGACTTTGAAATGCATTCGGGTACTCAGTAATGTCCTTGAGATCTTGGGTCATTTGTTTCAGTTGACCATCTATATTTTCTGCTAAATTGTATCTGAAAAGGCAGATAAAATAAAGTGATTAACAAGAAATGTTTTCTGCATTATGTACTATTACTATACAAAGATAATACTGCCAACTGGGTTTACCCAATCCCCTTACCTTCTTAACGGGTCTTGGTTATAACTAATGGCACATTTTTATGGATACAATATTTATGACCTTATTACCATATTCTAACAAGACTCAATAGGTGAAGGTTTTTATCCACTTTGCCATTTTTACAGTCACCTATTTACCCTCTGGATAATACTCTGAGGAGCTCTGAGGCAAAGGAACTCTCTTTAGGTGTCAAATCCATGAAATATTTAGATATATGAGAAGTTATTTGGTATTTTGCAGTATTCAATAAGTGTTGAGATGTCTTCAGTGATTTTGAATACATACACTTTCAGAGTAAAGCCTTACATAAATATACTCCATCCACCAACAAAAGATGTTTTGAGAAATGAGATTCACAATAATCTAAGGTAAATAAATCTGCCAAGTTCACAACAAATTGATTAGTTGGCAAATTCCCAAGATTTCCACCCAAACTATTTACACACACACACAACCTAGTCAATGAATGTTTATGAGAGTTAAAGGGACCAAAGCATTTTTCATCCTTAATGTCTATAAAGATTAAAAGATTAAATTAGATTTACTGATAGCTATCTACTACCTTTTTATTCCAAAGTATTTATAGGTAATTAGCTACCGAGATTGTTCAAGATTATAGTAAAGATTCCATCACAATGTAAAGCAGACTGAAAACAATAGAAAAGAAACTAATGTTTCAATTATTTCTTCAAACTAGTTAAGATTTCATGGCCAAAAATGTAACTCCATAAGTTTTTTAAAAAATGATAGAATACATAGAAAGCAATTCAAAGAAAAGAAAGATTCACAAAGCTGAAATACAAAAGCAGAAACAGAACTAGGGTCCATACAATTAGCTGTACTCAACACATTTACTACACCTAAAAAAAGTTTACTTACAAGTCTGTTAAAAGTAAGCTCAGTCTTAACTCACTAATAAGCCACTAATAGAACGAGTCTGGCTTAATCTCAATCTAGTTTATATAGCACATTCACACAAGTTCTCTTAACAATACTTTATTACTTGGCCTGATTACCAAATCTGAGTTCCAGAAAGAGAAAGTTGCTTTGGGAACACTGACAACACTTCGCCCAAAGTTAAAGACTGAATGGTACACAAATAAAATACATCCAGCTCAAGATACTGACAAAAATCATTCAATATTTTAAAGATACGTAGTTTGTCAACAGATTAACAAATTGCCTTTAAAATAGCAAATGATTTATCAGTGAAACCATTGCATTAATACTAGGTTTAAAAGAATCAATATAAATAAGAGACCATAAATATCCCACAATACTATGACACCACACACATAAAACTGGTATGTCTAATTTAAGAACAAACTCGACAAAAATTTTACTATGATCATGTATAAGCTTGAAATTAACAATGTACAAAATGCCATAAGCCAAAATTGCCTGAATGATTGCATTATTTTTAATCATCTTAAAAAGATAAACAGAAATAGGCAAGTTGATAAGTGGCAACTATAAGAACTTGTCTTTCTCTACAAATCTTTATTCCTTGCTTTTCAACTCCACCTTTTTTCTTTTTTTTAGTAGCAAAGTCCTGCCCCATTCCTTGATCTTTATTCAGTTACTTACATCCTCTCATGATTATTTGCTTGCTGAAGATAAACAAACCCTCCGTGGTCCTTTTTTACAAACTCCTTTAAAGGGGTCAAGAGATCTTCTAGTTCCTTCTGCTGTGACAGGATAAAATCCAATTCTCCTTCCAACCTGAGAAAAACAAGTCAGCAGAGGGCTAATAAAAGGAATTTGGAGTGACAAAACAGATGTCAATAAACTATAGTAAGGAAAAGAAACTGGACATAGATATAGATCTGTAATCTTTCAACCTAGGGAATCTAAGGTTCTACCTTTCCTGATCCTGTTTCATTTTTTCCACTTCTTGTAAATCAGTAATCTATAAAGGAAAATAAAAATACAGTAAGACATGTATTTGAATTTACATTGGAATTTTAAAGCAATATTAATTTTCTCAAACATACTTCAAATACGAAAGATTTCCTAATTCAGGATATTTATTACCTAAGGAAAGTATTTTTAAATTGACTACCAATAGTGGAATAGAAACCACAAAACGCAGATTTATTCTGTGTTCATCTAAAAATACTCCCACAATGCTGGTAGGTTAATGAGAATATCTTCTTACCTTCTCACCATTCTCAATCACTGTAAGGTCCCAAGCATTGAAAAGGTTGCTCTGGCAAAGAAAGTACTTCTCTTGATCCTCTAACTCATGGGTCCATTTGTTTAACAGATCCTCCAGCTGACCACATTTCATCATGAGAGTTACAATTGCTCTAAAAAAAAGGATGCAGTATGATCACACAATTGAAACAATAACATAGGAGTACTTAGAGAAGAAAATAACACACGAGGAGTTTTTTAGATCTTCTCTCTAACAAAACCATCACAAATGGAATAGATTATTTTTAAAACAATCATTCAAAGTATTTGGAAATGATCCTAAGGAAATCCAGCAAATAAAGATTTATTGAGAAATTTACTCAATCACAGTAAGAGCAGCTAAAGTTTGTGCCACAGCTTACTCCCTCTCTGTCCCCTTAGCTCAGCATGATGGAAGCTCCATTCTGGGTGCATGTAGCCAAAGATATAGGACTCTCTCTTCCTACAGCACTTAGTCAAAGTGATCCATTCCCTGTCTCAGCAGTATCCATGAAACTGAGTAAGCAGCTGAGCTTCTACCCTCCACTGGACAGAACCAAGCAGAACTCTGATTCCCCTGCCAGGTAGTATCATTTAGGCTGAGCCAGTAGCTCATTTTTCATCCTGTGACTGGCAGAACCAGGCAATGCTCTTGATTCCTCTGCTGGGGCAGTGTCAGCAGGGCCAGACAGAGGTAATCATCAATTGTCTGCCCAGAAGAAGTTCTAATCCCCTCACCAGGGTATTTCCAGCAATGTTCAGTAACAAGCTGAACCTAAATCCCCATCCAGCAGGATCAAGACTTAATAAGGCACAATGAGACAGGGTTAGTTACCATTAGGCTTTACCACTTGTCTTCAGTGTCAGTGGGACCCAATGGTGAGCTAACCTCTATGACCACATGGCATCACCGGGACTGAACAAAGTAATGCAAGTTGGGACTAGCTAGGACTCCACTTCCCACCACCCCTGGGTGGTGTCAGGGAGGCTCAGTGGAGAGCTTAACCTCCACATCCACTGAAAAAACCAAGACTGAACAAGGCAGGGCAAATCAGGGCTAGTCATTACTCTGTCCTCTTTTTCCCCATAACCTGTGTCAGCAAGGCCCAGTAGGGAGCTCAGCTTCCATACTAACTCAGCATCAATGAGGTTAAATGAAGTGATATGAGAAGAGTAGTTGACATCCGCTTCTTCCCTACTCTTGTATCATTGGGGTCCAACAGGAAGCAGAAATTCTGCCTCCACCCTGCAGTTACTAAGTAGCATTAGTTAGTACTCCACTTGCCCTTGTTCTGGGTCCTGGAGGCCCAGCTGGGAACTGAGCTTACATCCCCACTTAGAGGCAATGAAGTGGTATGATGCACTGTCCCACTTTCATGCAGAATTAGCAGGGCTGGGGGGGACCTGAAATTCCATACCACTCATATACATTGAGGCAGTGTGAGTCAGTGCTCCATTTCTGCTCAGGTGGTGTGGGCAGGGTCTGGTGGGAAGCTGACCATACAAATGTACCCAAACCTTGCACCTGATGAAGAAAGAAGATTTAAATAGTACCCAAACTCCCCTAACAAAATAGATAAAATGTCCAGGGTACAACTGAAAAGAATCTGTTATATCAAGGACCAGGAAAATAACAACTTAAAAGAGAAAAGACAAGCCACAGATACCAACATTGAGAGTTATCAGATGTTAGAATGATCTGAAAAGAATTTGAAAACAACCATAAAAAAATGCTCCAACAAGCAATTATGAATCTCTAGAGACAGATGGAAAATAGAAAATTTCAGCAACGAAATAGAAGTTATGAAAAACAATCAAATGGAAGTTATAGAACAAAAAAAAATAAAGTAACTGAAATAAAAAGCTCACTTGAATGGTTTGATACTAAATGGAGATGACAGAGGGTACAATCAGTGAACATGAGAGCAAATCAATAGAATTTACACAACAGCAGAGAGAAAATAGGCACAAAAATGAAAAAAATCTCAGACCTGGAGGGCAGTAATAAGAGGGAACATCTGTAGACCAGAGGATAATACATCAGAGAGGAAAAGAGAAAATTGGATTGAAAAAGTATTCTGAAAAATAAAGGTGAAAACTTCCCAAATTTGTCAAACGACATAAACCTATAGATTCAAGGAGCTAGCAAATCTCAAACAGAATAATTCAAAGAAATCTGTGGTGCTAAGACACACAATCCTTAAATTTCCAAAATGAAAGATAAGTAAAGAAAAAATCTTGAAAGCAGCCAGGGAGAAACATCACATTACTTAGAAGGGAAGTCCAATTTGAAAGACAGAAGACTTTTCATCTTAAACCATGGAGGCTAAAATAAAGTATCACAGAATTTTTCAAGTATTGGAAGAAAAAAATTGCTGGCTACTATTTCTAAATCGAGTGCAAATATCCTTCCAGAAATGGAGGGAAAATAAAAATACTCTCATGCAAAGTAAATTTAAGAGAATGTGTTACTATCAAACCTATCTTTAAAGACTGGCTAAACAGAAACTAAATGAAAATAAGAGCTGGAACTTCATAAAGGAAAGAAGACCAAAATGGATAAAAAGGGTAAAGATAATAGACCAGTCTACTATTCATGAGTTTTTAAAATCATATTTGATGATTGAAACAAAAAGTGTTACAGCATATAATGTGGTATTCAATAAACATGGAGGAAGTAGTTAAGACAATTATACTTAAAAGAAGAGTAAAGGGAAACAATGAAAGTAAGGTTTCTACACTTATGCAAAGCAGTAAAATGTCAATATAACTAGACTGTTGTAAGTGACATATCTATATCGTAGCAGTTAGTAAGAAAACTATACAAAGCAATATACTCAGAAACAGTATAAACAGAAAATGATGGAACCCTACAAAATGTTTGAATAACCCATAGGAGGTTAACAAAAAGAGAAAAACAAAGAGAGGTAAAAAAGAAAAAAAATAACTAATAAAATGGCAGATTTAAGCCCAATATATCAATAATTACCTCAAATGTAAATGTCCTAACTATACAGACTAAAAGACAGAGATTGGCAGAGTGGATAAAAATTATGATCCATCAATATGCTTGCCTATAAGAAACTCACTTCAAATAGGTTGATAAGTTGGAAGTAAAACGATGGAAAAATATATACAGGCAAGTTGAATTTTGAAAAAGATATGGCTATATTAATAACAGATAAAGTCAATTTCACAGCAAAGAAAATTACCAGAATGATAAAGAAATCAAAGTACCAGGAAGGTGAATAATCCTAAACATGTAGGCAACCTAACTGCAGGGCCTTAAAATATAGAAAGCAAATTGAAAGAGCTCAAAGGATAAATAAAGAAATCCACAGCTACAGTTGGGGACTTCAAAAAGCCATTCTACACAACTGAAAGAAGCCTCAGAGAGAAAAGCTGCAAGGATAGAGATCTGAAAATACAATGAAGCAACAAGATCTAACTAACACATACAGAAGATTTCACTCAACAGCAGAAAATATAACTTTCAGGTGCCCATGGAACATCCACTAAAAAAAGACCATATCCTCAAAAAAAAAAAAAAAGACCATATCCTCACCATAAAACAAACCTAAAACAAATATAAAAGAACTGAAATCATACAGAGCATGTTCTCTAACCACAATGGAATTAAACTAGAAAATGAGACAGAAAGAAAACAGGAAAATCTCCAAATACTTGGAAATTAAACAAAACTCATCCAAATACTCTATGGGTCAAAGAGGAATTCACAAAGGAAATACTAAAAGTACACAGAATTGAATGAAAATGGAAATGCAACATAACATAATATATGGTACATAGCTAATGCAGTGGTGAGAAGGGTACTATAAGCAATAAATGCTTAAATTAGAAAAGAGGAATGGCCTCAAATAAATAATCTTTCATACCTCAAGAAACTAGAGCAAAATGAACCCAATGCAATTAGAAACAAAGAAATAATAAAGAGTAGATATCAATAACATTGAAAATGAAAACAATAGAGAATAATAAATGAAGCAAAAGCTACTTCTTGGGGAAAAGATCTATAAAATTGATAAAGAAAGGTACAAACCACCAATATCAGAAACGAACAGGAGAATATCCCTATAGGTATCAAAAGGACAAAAAGGGAGTACTATGAACAACTTTACACTCATAGATTCTACAACTTAGAAGAAACAGGGCAATTCCTTGAAAACTACATACTTTTTAACTCATCAAAAATGAAACAGATAAAGTAAACAGCTCTAGAACCAATTAAAGAAATTTATTTGTAATTTAAAACTCCTGAAAAAGAAATATTCAGGCCCAAAGATTTCATTGGAAAATTCTGCCAAGTATTTAATGAATTAAAACAAATTTTACACAATACCTTCTATAAAATAGAAGGGAGTACTTCTCATATCATTTTATGAAGCTAATATTATCTGCAAATCAAATCTAAAGATAGAATAAAAAAAGAACTGAAGCAAAACTAAAGACCAATATCTCCCATGAACTTAAGACACAAAAGTTTTCAAGCAAAATACTAGCAAACAGAATTCAAAAACATATACAAAAATTCTACACCATGACCAACTGGGATTTATTCTATATATGTAGGGCTGGTTCAACATTTGAAAATCAATCAGTATAACTCACCACACCATTAAACTAAAGAAAAAAATCTTAAAATATTTTCTGAGGCAGAAAAGGCATCTGACACAAATATGTACAAATGATTTTTGACAAAGGTACAAAAGCAAGTCAATGGAAGATGATAGCTTTTCAACAAATGATGCTGGAAAAACTGGCCATCCATAGACCAAAAAAATGCACCTTGATCTAAAACTCATACCTCATATAAAAATTAACTCAAAATGGATCATGAGCTTAAATGTAAAACTATAAAACTTTTAGAAAAAAATAGAGAAAATACTTGGAATCTAGGTTAGGCAAAGAGCTCTTAAACTTGCCACTAAAAGCATGATCTATTAAGGGAAAATTTGACAGATTAGACCTCATGCAGTAAGTTTTTGTTTGGCAAAATACCCTGTTAAAAAGATGAAAAGACAAGTTGTAGATTTAGAGAAAATATTTATAAACTACCTACCTGACAAAGGATTGGTATCTAGAATATATAAAGCTCTGAAAAGTTAACAATATAAAATCAAATTCAAATAGAAAATAGACAAAAGGCATGAACAGATACTGTATCAAAGAGAATATGCTGATGGCAAACAAAGACATGAAAAGATGTTCAGCATTGTTAATCATAAGGGAAATGCAAATTAAAAATCACAATGAGATATGACTTCACATCTATTGGAAGGGCTAAAATAAAAAAATGGTGACACCACCAAATCCTGGTGAGAATCCTGACAAGCTGGATCCTTTACACATTGCTGCTCGGGTGTGTAAAAAGGCAAAGCGACTCTGGAAAACAACTCGGCAGTATCTTAAAAAAATGAACATGCAATGAACATACCACTTAGCAACTACACTTGGGCATTTTATCCTAGAGAAATGAAACACGTTCACAAAAACCTGTACACAAATGTTCACAGCAGCTTTATTCATAATAGGTAGTAACTGGAAACAACTTAGATGTCCATCAACAAATGAACAGTTAAATTATGACATATCCACAATACCACTGAATACCACTCAGAAATAAAAAAAAAACAAACTACTGATGCACATGACAACTTTACCCTAAGGAATTATGCCTAGTAAATAAAAAAAAGTCCTCAAACATCACATAGTGTATGATTCTATTTGTATAAGATTTCTTTAAATGTCAAGATCATAGAAATGGAAAACATTAATTGTTTAACAGCGTCAGAGAAAAGGGGCGAGGTTAGTGAATGTGGCTACAAAAGGGCAACAGGAGGGATCCTTGTGGTGATGGAACTGTTCTGTATCTTGACCGTATCCATGTCAATATCTTGGATGTGATACTGTACTATAGTATTCCAAGGTATTATTGTTGGGGGAAACTAGGTAAAGGACAGAGTTTCCTGTATTATTTCTTGGAAGTACACGTGAATCTACAATTTTCTCAAAATAAAAAGTTTAATTAACGAACCAACAATTAGGAACAGAGCATAGATTGTAAGAATACAGGCTCTGGAGCTCTACTGACTGAATTTTAATCCTGGCTCAACCATTACCAAGTATATGACCAGGGGCAGATTATGAAATTTTCTGGTGTTCCAGTTTTCTCATCTATTAAATGGGAACCAAAACAGTGCCTAACTCATAGGGTTAGTGTGAGGATTAAATGGTATGATGCTTACAAACCACTGTCATATTATGAAACATAAAGTAATTGAACAATAAATGTTAGCTACTATTAAAAATAGTAATTATAATAGAAGTAAGACAAAGATGTGCTCTTAACTGTTCAACTTCCTAAGCTTCAGAAAGCCTTTCTCTAAGTGCTCTTTCAACTCTGACTCATTTACTTAACTTTCAAATACTGTTCTAAAGCTATACAAGCAAATTATGCTTTGTACGTGATAAATAAAACTCACACATATTTCCAAATAAATAGGCTTACTTTACAGTTGAAGTACAAGGCATGTAAGTAATACCAACTGGAACAGTGTTATTAATCCCAGTTGATGTTCGTGGATTTAGATCAAAGACAAAGCTACTGGTGGTTCCGGTGGTGCTGCAAGTTGTGAAAGTAGTGGTGGTGGTCGTTGATGTCATAGCTGGAAAATAAAATGCATTAGTAAGAAAAAAGAAACTTTATTTACTCCCTGATCAGTCAGGATGAAAACCGCAGAAGCATTTTTTGAAACATGAAATTGTATTTAAAATTGTGTGGATTTGAACTCCACATTGCTGTGATAGGAAGTGATATATGTGGCAGGCCATGTATCTGGATTAACCTTCCTGCTAAAAAGTAAAAACCCAGATTGGTTTGTAGAAAAATAAAATTTATAACTTAATCAGACCTATAGCCATTAAAGAAATTGAATCAATCAATGCTCAAAACTCTTCCCATAAAGAAAACTCTAGGCAAAGATGACCTCACTGGTAAATTCTACTAAATATTCAAGGAAAGAATAATTTTAATCTTATACAAACTCTCTGTTCATCTGTATCTTTGAATACTTACATGAATATATCTGTGTAATTAATTCCTAGAAATGAAATTGTTGGATCAAAGGTTCAGCATGATCTAAATTTTAACATATCTTGCCAAATTGCCCTACCAAAAAGATTTTTGCTAATTTACATTCCTATTAACAGGGGAGAGTGACTGTTTCTACATCACAGCCCATAATAGGGATACATCTTTGCTAGCCTAATAGGTAAAAGCCTCCCAAAGTTTTAACTATAGCTCAGACTTCTCTCCTATGTGTCTCTTTCTATTGCACCCCTGAGAATGCCCTGCCTACTGTAGAGGGAATCCTTCATGACCTAGCTCAGATTCTTCCTTCCCCATAATTATCAGTCACTTCTCTTTTACTCATCATTATTCCTTGGTTTTTTGAACTTCTACAGCACTTCTAGTTTTTGCTATACACTGAGCACTTAAAGAACAATGCAGAGAAAACTGGCTGGTGGGTAATGGAAATGTTTTCTTCTTTTTGGTACTCCACATTTTCAAATGTTCTTGTAGTTAATAAATGCTGCTTATGTAAGAAGGAATTTGTTACAAAATTATAACATGTATACAATTGTTTGTTTTACATTAGCCTTGCTTTCCCAATGAGCAATATTTTCAGGTTATTTATGGACATACTAAATAAATACATAAATCATGGGGCCTGCCAACATGCACTGCCTATTCTAAAGGAAGCTGAACTAGTTTATACCTGCTCAGGGATCAGGCTCAGATACCCATTCTTTATTCTAGTAATTCTGTCTCTGTCCTTTGCTCATGGTTCACAGTTGACTGGGACAAAGGTAGGTACTGAAGTATGGAAAGCCATCCCATATGCTACTGGCAGACTATGAGTAGGTCTGGCACAAAAAAGCTCTAGCCAAACAGGGATGAGATGGGTCAAAATCTCATTTTCAAAAATGTATGTATAACTATACAAAGAATCAGACTGTAGGTAGAAATATGGAAAATATCAGATTCTAAAGCAGAAATTTTGAAATATTTCCAAAAGTATAGAAGGAATCAGACTATAGGCAGAGGGAGATGAAAGAACAGAGTAAAAACAGGTAGAATTACAGAGGAAAAACATGTAGAATTAAGGAGTCATAAGCAAGACAAAATTAAGAATAAACAGTAAGGCAGAAAAAGATGTAAGGAAACCAAGGATATGTTAAAAAGAAAAAGAAAAAAGTAGATAATGAGAGAATAGTTGAATTATGTGTGTGCAATATTAGATTCAGGATGTCCTTAAAGATGCCTTTAGAAACTATTGTTAAATCCCAATGTCCTTGGATGTCCTTGGAGTTCAAAGCCACAACAGTATCTACATTATATTTCCACAAGATTTTATTTCCCTTTTGGCCATAACAATTCTTACAATAATTCCCCCCATTCTTGGGGTTAGGCCTTGTGAGGCTAGAATGAGCGTGACAAGGGAACACCAGACTCAATCATAAAGGATCCCTGGTGTCATCATTACTCAAAATGATGGAAGGATTACAGATTTGATCCCATATGGCCATTCTTTATAGCCATATGTTATCATATTGTTCATGTGAAAATAAAAATCTGAAAGAAATCCCCAGAAATGCTGAAAATTAATGATACTATCAAGACCCCCCCCCCTCTATTAACTCATTCAAACACTGTGTAACTACTACATTCAACACAGGTAAACAATTATGAAAAAGTAAGTCCTGTAAAGGAGCTTGTCTTCATCCAAAGATTTTTTTAAAAAGTCATCTGTATTTCCTGACATGGACAGATATCCAAAGATGATAAATATACTTAGGAGAAAAGAGCAAATACAGAGAAGACAAGTAATGACTTTATGGTATCTTACTATGCTGATGGACAGTAACTGCAATGGGGTGTTGAGGGGGGGCTTGATAATGTGGGTGAATGTTGAAACCACAATGTTGCTCATGTGAAACCTTCCAAATATTGTATATCAACGATACCTTAATATAAATAAATAAATAAATACAAAAAAAGAAAATAGCAAATGGATTATACGTGTATGTGTATGTATGTATGTGTACATATATAATGGTCCCATTTTTGTAAAATAAATTAATTAAATGTTATGTTTGTATGCATTTGGATAAATGGCTGGAAAGATAAATACCAAACTGTTCTCCCTAGAGGGAGTGATACATGTATATATGTACAAATGCATGTGTATATGGCTTTTGTAATAAAAAAAAAAGCAACTACCATCATTACCAAAGAAACAGATAAACAAACAAAAACACTTCCCCAAAGATGCTGAATGATACCTACAGGAAATTAATACCTGTCAGCTTAAACATAAAGGAAATCTGAAGTCACAGAAGAATGGTATGATTATTTTAACCTTTTATATAGTATTTATCTTTGATCCTTGTTTTCTGTGCTGTTTTAAAAAGGTATAAATTAGCTCTGGCATAGGAGATAATATTCAAATAACAGTAATATTTCAATTAATACCAAAAGAGGCAATGGATTTGAGAATGAAGGTTCTATCACAGTCTGATTTTGCAAATTATGACTTTGGTCTAAACTAAAAACAGACAAATTTATATTGTCTGTGTAGTAGATAAACAACTGTGTATCTTCCTCCATGCTGGGAATGGACATCATTACCTTCTCAGACTCATACAAAAGATGAGCTCTATAATAAGCAAGCTTCTCTTAAAACTTGCTGATTACACCTAGGGCAGAGAATAATTCCAAATGGTTATAAATTTGCAATTGTCAAAACTGATGTACCTTTTAGATGCTCTGATGAGATTAGCATAAACCTACTTAGTCCTAGAAGCTATGGAATTCAATCTATTTATTGCCTCTTATACAGTACATCTCCAGTGAGTGTCCAAACACACTCCAATAGTTCTAAAATCTTAATAGATGCAACAGGAGCTACTCCACCTGATCCGGAGAATTTCATTCCAAATCCGAAGGCAATATCATCAAGTGATCCAGTCAAAGTTGTTGGGGTACCAACTGCAGAGAACAACATAGTATTATCTATTACCCTTTTAATTCAAAACAGTAGGGAATTTATACAGAGTCTTTTTCATCTGAAGAGTCCTTTAGAAACTGTTGGCTAACCTTCAAAAAGCTAAGGTCAACCCATTTAAACGAAATGTCCAGAAAAGGCAAATCTATGGAGACAGAAAATAGATTAGTTGCTGTCTGGGGCTGAGAGATCTTATTGGGATGATAGAAATATTCTAAAACTGGATCATAGTGGTAGTTACACAATTCAGTAAACTTATTAAAAATCACTGAATTGGTACACTTAAAATAAGTTAATTTTATTATATTTATATTTAAGTTATACCTCATTAGAGTTAATTTTTAAAATACTATGGTCAAGATCTGTTTCCATTTTGTAGACAAGAATATCAAAGACAGGAAGGAAAAGAAGTTTGTTAAGTGAGAGGGCAAGTCTTTGACTGAAAATGGAATTCATTCAATAATTTTAGCTCCCAACCTCAGACATGGCATATTCACAAATCTATTGTGGTTGAGGGGATATTGCTTACATACATCAAAATGTTTCCAGAATTTCAGTCTTATCTCAAAACTGGAAGTCTACATGGTAGAAAATGCAGCTCAAGTGGTAACCAGCCGATTTTAACTAATATTTACCTATGTTAATTGCATAAGAGGATAGGATGGTAGATACTATTTTTCACACCTGACTGGGCACCAGCAATTCCTGGTAAGTTTTATTTCCAGGAATGGTGACAGTCTTGCTATAATAGGGCTTTGGAGGGACCATATTGCAGCTGGGATTACTAACAAAGTCTAATGTTGAACATCATGGCACTGTGAAGATACCTCGAAAGCATAACTAGTTTATATGGACTTATAAGAAAGAATTACCAAAGACACATACATAATTCAATATTCTTAACATTTGCTATTACTCTACTAATGGAAGATGTGTAGCAAAGAAGTTGGGGTTACGAGATAATATCCCACTTCTCAGCTCAACATGTCCAGATGATCCTCTTCAATGGACAGACCAAGAAACAACATACAGTGTCAAAACCCAAAACTACGGCTGCTCCTTTTGTCATGTTTAACATTTCTGATAGGAAAAATGTAAAAACCACGAACCTGGTCTACACAGAAGAATATACCAATAGCAAGGCTCTAACGTTTATTTCCCATTTTATCCTATTCACATGGATGGTAAGACTTCTTCCCTTCAGGTATCCTTGGCAAAACTCACACCCTGCCTATTCCCATTAGTTTCGAGACGTTTCAAAACATTATAATGTTAATGAATTATATGCTTAAAATTACCACTTTAAACTGTAATCATCATGTTAACACAGAATTCACAGCTGAAGCCATGACAGGTTCTTAAGCAAATCTACTATTGATATCAGCAGTTACAGATGGGTTCAAGCATAATGATAATTTATGAGATGAAAGAGATCCATATTGGCAAATTGACTTAAGTGGCCTGATGTGAAATAATAATATCTTCTTTGCAACCAGTAACTTACATGAGAACACACTAGCAGCAGTGGAGTTAGAAGCATTCGATACTGAAATGAACCCCATGATGCTTAAACTAGTGGTGGCAACAACAGTAGATGCTGGAACAAACCTAAAAATCAAAGTAACAAGCAGAAAAATATGTCACTAAAAACAATTTTTAAGAAGTAAAACACCACTATAACAGGGTTCATTTATATGGAGAAAATAAATAAAGCAAGGACAATCAGGTACTCTAAAATCTAATAATATGACATAGTAAAAACCTGTTTAAAAAAGTACTGATTAAAAATCAGTACTGCTTAGTACAGCCAGGCTTCTAGCTCCATTTTAACAAAGAAATTCTACTTTACTAAAAAGTAAACATAAGAGGGAATCCACTAGCAGAATTACAACATAATAAGTCCTAGAGACCTATTCCCCAGTGAAACAACTATAACTGGTTGTAAAAAATAATTAAAAAATTTTTGAAATCTCTGGAAATTGTCTAATGGTACACAGCAAAGGAAACATTTATTCAAGAAAATTTGCTAGAACTCAGCAATACCAGTGAGAGTCTGTGGCATACAAACTACAACCCACTCACTTCCTTCTCTCCATCCCCCTGCTCACTTTGAAGGAAGCTATACTCCAGGCACAGTGGCCAAGAAGACTGAACTCCCTTGTCCCCCAGTTCCCAACCAAGGGATATACTATCTCATTGGGAGGGGCAAGAAGCCAGCACTTCTTATCACCTCCAACACAGAGTAAAATGTTCAAATTCCTGGAAAGTACAGGAGAAATTGAGGGGCTTTCTTCCAGTCAGCCCCCATTCATAGGGCAGAGGTTCCACACCAGGCATGGCAGGTTGAGAATACTGGGGCCCTATCACCCTTAACCCCAATTGCATTGCCACAGCTTACATGTAGAGCTGAGGTTCTAACCCTGAAGCAAGAAGACCGGAGGCAAATGCCACTGCCCAGTAACCAACACACTGGTTCAAAGGTTTCGTCCAGGGATTAAGACAGTCCCTAAGAAAAGAGTTCCCAAGCTACCCCTGAAAGAACTGACTTTATTTAAAACAGAGTGTGAGGAAGTTCAAGCCAAAGAACTCTTGAAAAAATGGAAATTTTGGTGGTAAGCAATCAAGAGGCAAGTAGCTTTCTGAGAGCAACAATTTACGCTATAGGCCAGCTAGTTTACCAGAGATAACCAGAGAAAGAGAAAGCTGAAAAGAGCCCTCTTCCAGAGTTCAGAAGAATCAAGTACTCATACATGCTACACCATGGATGAATTTTGAAAATATGCCAAGTGAAAGAAGATAGACACAAAGGCCATATATGGTATGATTCCATTTATATGAAATGTCCCAATAGATAAATCTACAGACAGAAAGTAAAGTGATGGTTGCCAGGGGCTGAAAGGAGTGGTTAACAGAGTGACTGCTAATGGTACCAGGTTTTTTTTTGGAGTGATGAAAATTATATACTTAAGAAGGGTTAATTTTAAGATATGTGAATTATACCTTAGTTATACTGTTATTAAAACATACAATCATCTCAATAGAAGCAGAAAAAGCATTTGAGAAAATCCAACACACTTTCATGATGAAAATACTCAACAAACTAGGAAGGGAAGGGAACTTCATAAACATAATAAAAAGGCATTTATGAAAAGCCCACAACTAACATCATACTTAATGGTTAAAGACTGAAGGCTTTCCCACAACCATCAAGAATAAAATAAGGATGTCTGCTCTCACCACTTCAGTTCAACAATACATTGGAAGATATAGCTAGGAAATTATAGACAAAAAAATGAAAATAATGGTATCCAGTTGAAAAAGAAGAAATAAAACTATCTTCTCATAGATGATCATGAATAAAGAAAATTCTAAGAAATCCATAAAAAATGTATTAGGACAATAAACAAGTTCAACAAGGTTGCAGGATACAAGAACAATATATAAAAGTAAATTATAATTCTCTATAACTGGTAATGAACAATCCAAAAATGAAATTAAGAATATAATTCCATTTACAATTGCTCAAAAAGACTAGACTACTTCGGAGCAAACCTAACAAAAGAAGTATAAGACTTGCACCCAGAAAAATACAAAACATCTTTGAAAGATATTGAAAACATCCTAAATAAATAGAAAGACCTCATGTTCTTGGATCAGAAGATTTAATATTGTTAACATGGTACAGTCCCCAAAGATTGCCATATCCTGATACCCAGAATCTGCAAGCATGTTACCTTACTTGACAAAAGGGAGTTATAGATGCTACAGACTAAGGTGAAGTACCCTGAGATAAGGAGATTATCCTGAATTATCCAGGTAGGCAAAATCTAGTGACATGAATCCTTAAAAGTAGAGATTCTTTCCAGGCTGTTGTCAGACGGAGATGTGACTACAAAAGAATGGTTAGAAAGATGCACACGTGCTGATAGAAATGGCCATGTAATACATGAAAATACACTCATCAATATTAGTCACTAGAGAATTGCAAATCAAAACCACAATGAGATGCCACTTCATACTGATTAGGATGGCTATTATCAAAAAGACAGGTATATACTGGTGAGGATGTGGAGAAATTGGAAATCTCATTTAATGTTAATGGGAATGTAAATGGCATAGTCTCTTTGGAAATGGACACATGCTCAAAGTGTTAAACAAAGAGTTACCCTATGAACCAGCAATTCTACTCCTAGGTATCTACACAAGAGAAATGAAACATGCGACCACACAAAAATGTGTACATGAATGTTCACAGCAGCAGTACTCATAACACACATTGGTTGTAGAAACAACCCAAATGAACATTAACTGATGAATGGATGAATATAATGTGGCTTATCTACACAACAGAATTTCATTTGGCCATAAAAAGGAAAAAAAGTACCAATTCAAGTTAAAACATGGATGAGCCTTGAACACATTAAGAACCTAATCACAAAAGATCACATATTGTATGATTCCATTCATATGGAATGTCCAGAATGGGGAAATCTATAGAGCCAGAAAGCAGATTAGTAGTTGCCAGAGACTGGGGGAAGGGGAGAATGGGCAGTGACTGCTAATGGGTATGGAGTTTCTTTTGGTGGTGATGGAAATGTTCCAAAATTTACTGCAGTAATGGGTGCACAACCCTGTGAATAAACTAAAATCTAACTAACTGTACATTTCAAATGGGTGAATTATATTGTATGTGAATTACATAATAATAAAACTGTGAGAAAAAATAAATAGAAGTCTGGAATAAAGTTTCAGAAAATGTATTATCTACCTCTGCTTTAAAACTTAAAACAAAACTGTAAAAGAAATAAGCTAGAGAAATTAAGTACTTAAAGACACAAATAAGATTAATTGGTTAACTGAAAATAAAGTTCCTATTTTCATCCTTGCTACAGATCACTGTACATGGCACATGGTACTAAGTGCTCAATAAATGTATCTGCTGAATTGAACCAACTTTTTCCAGACCCTGATACACAATTACAGGTATTCTATTTCCTCTTCAAAAGGAAAAAGTACTTAGTAAGTAACTGCACTTGAATCTATAGCTGCCTGTATCCAACTGTTGAACAACTCATGGTGATACATGACATCAGATGACTGCTATCCAAAACACCCAGGACCACTGGGAGCAAAAAGAATGGGGAGGAGATGTCAGGAAGGAATTGGAAACATTATCAGACACCTACAACTGCTTACAGTGTGTATTGTGCAATATTCTTATGCTTCATTTGGAAGAAGCACCAATGTAGTAAACTTTTAAAGAAATAACCAGTTTCACAGCAAAGACATTTTAGTATTTATAATTCATTACCTACTGGTGAGGCTAAATTTTTATTATGCAGTTAATGGCTACTCTAATTTCTTCATTTGAAGTTGCCTATTCATGTCATCTGCTCATTTTCTCACAGGTGCATTGTCTTATTACTGATTTTTAATAAAAGTGTGTATCAAGTCTACTTACTCAAATTTTGTAAAAATTTCCCAACCTCAGTTTGTCATTTGCTTTTCTGGCTGTTTTTTTTTTTTTCATTTTTTTTTATGTAGTCAAATCTTTCCATCATCTGTCCCTTACGGTTTACATCGCCATATCATATTTCAAAACACTTTCCTTCTTAAACAGATAAAAGATGTTCAACCTCACATTTAGGAGAAAAATTTCAAATTATAGCTACACTGAGAACAATTTCAGGTAAGAGATGGGAAGAAGTAAAAAACTAGTAACACACTCTGCTAAGGACACTGAAGAAATAGCCAGCCTCCGAGCTTCCTAAAGGGAGTGTAAGTTGGTTACAATCTCTATGGAAAACAAGTGGCCAATGTTTCAAAAATTACAAATGCATATAACTTTGAACCAGCAACACTTCTGGAAATTTATCCACAAAGATGTACTTGCATACATATAAAATGATATGTAAAATAAAATCCATTGCATCACTGTTTGTATTAGCAAAAGAGGAAACAACCCAAATGGCCATCAGCAAAGTGCTAGATAAATAAATTATACATCCAGACCATGGAATTATAGGATGCTGTAAAAAAATACTAAGAAAGCTCTCTATATACTGACTGATGAGGTAAGAACTCCAAATGTTTAAAATAAAGTGTACAAGTTTATGTCTAAAAAGCAAGGTATAGAATAGTGTGTACAGTATACGACCATTTATATTACCATAAAAAAAACAAAGGTAGAGAACTAAGAATATATATTTCTATTTGCTACAAATCCATGAGGAAACTCTGGAAGGGTACACACAATTACAGTGGTTGGCTGACTGGGAGGGTGGAGGAAGGAGGTGTAGATGGGGAACTGTATACCTATTCATATTATTTGTATTCTTATTTTTGAACCACTTGACTGATCATATTATATATATTTAAATTATACACAAATAATGATCCTTTCCCCAACCCAAGAAGTATTATTTACATATTTTCATATTCATCTATGCTTTTTAAGTGTTTTTGGTTTCATTTTCTACCTTGAACTCACCTAGTATTTCTTTCGGCTAATCTTTTGAGGCAAAATTAATCCCCTTCTCCCAAATCTCCTGGTTAGCCAGATATTGCAGTTCATTTACTCACTATTCTAACCTCTCTCACCACAGATT